TTACTGTTATTGTGTCATGAAATGTAGTTTTAAAGTATTTCAGGCGAGAATGTAGTTGTTTAAAACTCAAATCTGTGGTTTATTTATAAAAACAGCGCCTATTTGAAAATGTGCTTCGCCGATTTCGGAGACGGGAGCTCATCGATCAGCCGGCGCTCAGTGCACATGTATCCCGACGAGAGCAGCCTCAACTCGGCTAGTCCTTCTGACATTTGCCGCTGGCTCTGATGTCTCTGTTGTGGATAAACATAAGATTTACCCAAAACGAATTATATCTTAACAGGTAATCTTTGGTCTTTACTCAATTAATCTATTAATATGTTAAAATTAAAATGAAAACAGGCAATGTTTGATATAATATTTCGTTTCATTGTAATGTAGGCCATGTACATTCCCTGAACATTTCTGCGGCTATTAATATGTTTAAATGAAAATGAAAAGGGGCAGTGGTATTTGATATATTTCGTCTTATTGTAAATACAGTGAGGAAAATTGCAGTAGCCAAGGTGAGCTGACTGATGTTATCAAGTAAGCTGCTGTTTACCGGACTTGCTTCGTCCCGTCCGTGGGAGTTCACACTCCTGAGTCGAACTTGCGAAGTCCGAACTACCGAGGATGCAAGTCCGAAATTTGCATACTTGGTATTGAAACGAGCGCAGACCTACGTCACCAGACTATTTGCCTATTCTTCTCGGTACTTTAGACCGCGATGGAAACGCAGACAGCAACAGGTCTGGGGGAGAAAAAGTTCCTGGGAAAAAAAGTTCCTGGTACAATTGTTCCAGGTAATTTCGGTGGAAACGCGGCTTTAGTCAGTAAGTAGTTTAATATACAAGAGAAGCAGACTAGGAGACTGTAAAGAATACATACAGAACCTAATATTGGCACATTTTACAGAGTTCTTACTTTCGCAAGTAGCTGCTCAATCTCCACTGACATGGTCTCAAACATTCTGTCCTGAGTGGAGTTGGGGAGCAGAGGCGTTGTATCTGAACTACTGAACACAGAGAGAACAGAACCGTGTTTTTACCACCCCCATCTTCACAAGGATATTTCAAAAACATCACAAGTCCTTTGATGAGTGACTACAGTGGCATCACACCTGTCTCCTCTACGGCCGTCCCGAGAGCTGCTGTAACTGGTGCACAGCTTACTGAAGGACACCAGCTTCAGGTCCAGCTCGTTCTCCAGCTGCCTCGCCTGCTTCCGTAGGTCTGTCAACATGCAATAATATAAACATTACATTCAGCATTCAGTAAATTATTTCAGTGCTTATACACATTCATAAAATGCAAGACCATAAAATGACACTCATCCATCAATATGCATTTGCATTAATGTACAACCTTCAGCAGCACCTTCAGAGTTAGTGGCAGTTTACATTATTGGATGATACAATAATAATAGAAGAATGTATAAAATTATACACAGCATATCACTGACAACTTCAGGTGGTAGTTATTTATATTTATAGAAAACAAAACATTCATATTAGTCTACCTGGTCGTTGATAGTCCAGATTTATTAACTGTCTAACGTTACTCAGTCTGACTGCTGTCATGTGTTTTAGGCGTCTAAGGCACGTGAACACATTCAAAACGTGCTTATGAAGCCCTCAAGTGCTGTCTATGAGGGCCGTTTATTAGATTTTGAAATACGGCCCATGAGTTTATTTTATTTTGAAGTAAACGCTCGTTTCAGCTTCATATATAAACGTTTTTTTTTTTGACAGATTATACATCTTTGTGTTACATTGAATACAGAGAGTCTGTTTATAATGAAAAACATCTGACAAATGTTTACAGTAAGATAAATGAATATCTCGCTGTATTCTTCAGGTTTTCGGGCTAACGTTAATCGGAAGCACTGACGTTTCTGCGGACTAGCGAGCTAATGCTAACGGCGATAGTTAACGCGGTAACCTGGCTGCGTTTTCATGGAAACGTCGCCAAAGATTGTTCAGAACAAGGAATCGGCGTGAGCTGTCACAACCCGCAATAGAGCTTTTGGTCGCGCAGAATTTGTAACGCTTTGCCACCTCACCTTCCCAGTAGTTGCTGTTTCCTCCCGCCATCTTTGTTGTTCGACGTCATCCGCGGTGGTGCTGGCAGAGGCGGAGACTAAAGCAAGAGCACTTCACCACACTCTGCGCTGCGCTCTGTCATCACAGCGCCCTCACGTGGTATGCAGGAGAAGCGCACTCTCCTTTAGCATTCCCATTTCTTCTGTGATTTATCTTTATTGAAAATATAGTTCGAAAATACAACCACATTAAGTTTAAAAATATTTATTTTCTTTTATATAAAATAATAATAATATATCAGTCATTCTTGAGACATGGGACAAAACAGGTCCAGCAAGGGTAACTGCTATTATTTTTGTCAACACCGTCAGACATTCAATAAAATTTAATAGAATCAGGGAATATCAGGAGCAGCTGTCACTCTAAAGGACCCCCTTGCCACAGTTCACCTCTGCAGAGTACATCAGTGTCGGATATAAAATACATAAATGTAGTTTCATTTGTCTGAGTACAAGGTTTTATTTTTTCAATTTTGCACCGTTTTGTCCCACTTCTCAAGAATGACTGATATATTATATAAATATTATGTAACACAAACACACAATCAATATGCACTAGTGGCAATATAGATTTCCCAATTAAAAAAAAAAATATATATATATATATACATATACAAATATAACTTTTCATAAAAATAAAAAAAAAACTAACACTTGCTTTCTAATCTTTTTGTATTCTGTTTTCTTTTCATTTATTATACAATTAACAAAAGCAAAAAAGACCTCTAACACGAGCTTGCTCTATTCTTTTTCTATTCTATCTGTTTTCTTTTTATTCATTATATTATTTAAAAAACCATTGCTACGTGTACTGTGTTAAGCTAACTGAGACTTGTTATAGCACTTGTATATTATTGCTCTTTTATTGATTTTGATTGCTTCTATTGTCCTCATTTGTAAATAATACATTATTTCATTTATTATTATAATATATATTTATGTATTATTATTTGTTATACTGGTTTTAGGATCTTAAAAATACTCATTCCTGTTGTAGATTATTTGGTCATATCTGTGTTCTCGAGTCCATGGATTTGAGTTCCCACTTTCCTCTTTTTATATATATATATATATATATATATATATACACACATACACACATGTATGTATCACAGTCTATGGTATGTATATATAGACAGAGTTGAAAACTGCATAACTCCCATCAAAATACTGCGCAAATACATAATAAAACTACCATATTAAAGAAAAACACATCAAATATTCAGAACAAAGTTTTATCTTTATTTACATCTCATTACACACCATTCATTTCTTTAATACACAAAAACAGGTTTATTTGTGCAGTTCTTTCACTCTTGATAGAAATTACACTTGTGTCATTTACATATAGTTGGCAACAATTCGATATCTACAATCATTGTTGTATAAAAAGAAAAAAAAAAATAAACATCAGCACAAACATAGAAAAGTTATACATATTTGTTCAAACACACCCAGAAATTTACATTTAAGCATGACAATCAACAACAAGCCTAAATAAATTCAATTTTTCTTGGTAATAGGATCAATGACTAATTAAATCAAAAAGATAATTTTCCCACTTATTAACATTTGACTTGTACTAATGGTCAGTCTGGCACAGAATGACATGAATTATAAAGAAAAATCTGAATGTTCTATTAAGTTTTAATATTGTGTTTGCTTTTCTTTTATATCGTAGAACAAAGAATGATTCAGAAAATGATTTATAAATTTCTCAGAGTGACAGAGTGAAGCTGCCTGCTCACAGAAAGAAGTACTCTCAGGTGTACTGCTGCTTTCAGATTGCACAGTAACACCACAGTGCCTCAATGTGTCACACGATCAAAGCCTCATCCTGTCGTGGAGGAAACATACTGCTGTGCTTTAACGCATCTGGACATTTTGTACATACACAAACTAAGAGACCAAATAAGAAGCTATATGCATGCCTCCAAATGATCACCAATGAGTTTTTTTGGAAGAGAAGATGTAGGATGCAGATATTGATTAGACACTGATGCATAAATATACACTATACCAGTTTTTAATTAGTCTGCTGAATTGTAAATAATATGTAAATATGTAAACTACATGAATAAAGTTTTGACAGCAACTTTTTGGGATGCCTGAGTCGGTGAGCAAAATAAATGTTTCATTGGATGGATGTTAAAACAAAAATAAATACATTTAAAAAAACAAAACAAAACAAAACAGTGACAACATTTTCAAGAGTGCACACTAAGACAAAAGAATCCAGACACACTGACTAAACACTATCATGTCCATGTGAAGTTATTAATGTTTCACCATATCCCTGAACATCAAAATAACAGAAGAGAAATGGTAAGGCAGTGAGTGAGCGTGTGTCTGCTACGTATCTAATGTGTCACCTTGCTTAATGTAAATATCTACATTTAAGACTGGACGAATAACTCTGCAGAATATGAAGTGTTTGGACCACTGCACTGGCTGTATGACTGCAAATAAGAAGAACAGGAAACACAGCAGTGTGTTTTTCATAAACTTGAAACTCAAAGCCAATGAGAAGACCAGATTCTCGGACGGATTGTTTCCTGACTTTGGCCCGGGTCCACAGAAAAAAAGGGGAGCAAAATTCCATTTACTCTACAAAATCATCATCTTCACAACAGCAGCGACCATGCAACCTCTAATCTAACAAGGCACAGTGTTTCATAATCCTGTTGAGAAAGATTCTAGCTGTTCAATTTCCTTTTTAAAGGGTAGAGGATTGGCATTATAAAGACCCAGATAACTAAGCAGGCTGGTTGAGAGCAGTGGTTAATTGCATACACTACGGTGCAAAACGCTCACCTGATTTCAACATGGGAAATTAAAGTGCATCCCGCGGTGGTTCTCGGGTTTCGATAGATTGGACAATAATGCTGCTGGCCGTTGAGCGCCCTCTACTGGCACTGCAGGCAGTTTGGACAGACTCAGGGGGAGGAGAGGGAGCAAGTAAGGTCTCAAAGTTTGTTGGTGTATAGCGTATCCTCATCACTTTCGCTCTCGTCTTGAAATTCGTGGCTCAGGAGAGACTTTTTGGAGCCCATAGACATGAGGCGGATCTCGTCGTCATAGTCGTCCTGGTCCTGTCGCAGCCGATGGAATCCGTCTTTTTGTCGGTTTGACTTGGCTGAGCAGACGCACCAGATGATGCAGGCTGTCACGACTAGGGCCGTCATTGCGGCAGCTAGGGATTGAATAATGAAAATGACCAGCCATTGAAAATTTGTCATCATATTAATGTAGCATTCAAAAATGGTTGGTTAGTACTGCAAACACAATCAATATAGAGTACTTTAGCTCTTTAGTACTTCAGTGATTTGATCTGCCTACCTGCGCTTGCCACTACTAACTCTCTTGGAAGGCCAAATATATCGTTCTCCATGTCAAACTCAATAATAATGGAACTTGCTGCTTCAAATGGCGACACAGACACCTGAAAAGAGCAACAGGAACAGTGAAAAAAAATGCATAGATCTCATAGATAAAATAAAATGTAAAGACAATTAAATTACCTTTCAAATAAACTATATTCATTATTATATATTATTACACACTTCAATTAAACTTAATACTCTCCATTACATTTATATAAGAATTGTATAGTTTATTATCATCTTCATTATTATACTGTTTAAATAAACAAAATGTTCTGAAAAACAAAAAACAAAACAAAAACAAGAACAAAACCAAACAAAACAAAACTCACCTTCTGGGACTGTTGCTGGTAGCCGTCAGCCACCGCTTCAATGCTGTGTAAACCAGGGGCCAGAAGGGCATGGAAATATCCTCCCTCACTGGTGAAGACTCGAACACCACCATTCAATACTATTATAGCGCCCACGATGGGCTTACCGCTCTTATCCTTGACCACTCCACGAACCCCTTTGTGCACCTAGAACAGAAGAACCAGCTTCAGCAAAGGAAGAGCTGAGATGCAGTGGAGGGTGATGAACAGAGAGGCAGAGAGGAGGACAACAGACTGACCTCAACCAGCATGCTCAGAAGAGACTTCCTGTTCTCAGCCCAAAGCGTGGGCAGCATATCAGCCGGTGGGAACAGGCAGCAGCTGGTGTAGACAGTGATCTCGGGACAGTGACCAAAGTCCACACTGAAGTCCTACAACATGGAGAGGAAGCAATCAGAGAGAAATTATTAGGAGGAATTAAGATTTTATAAATTATTGTGAACTAGTTGGTCATGACCAAAAATGGGCTTCAGGTCTGTTCTGATTGTACTGCAGAGAGCTGTTAAAAAAAAAACAAGCTAAATGCAAAATGCAAAATGCAAAATGCAAAAAAAAAAAAAGATTAGAATAACAAAACGCTTCCCATATG